ACTCATGAAATCTAGTATCTGCCCCACACCGAAAATGGGTGATCCCCGGCTAAGGCGAATCCATCTCAAGTGTTCACTCCACACCGAAAAGGAGTCTCATGGCTATAGTGAACCAAGAGCATATCGTGAGCATTAACTGACATAGATCATGTGACCTAAATATGAAATCCACTGTCTGTCCCACATCAAAAAGGGGTGGAATCTCTGATAAAAGTGAAACCAAATAGGCCTAGCTCGCTTAGGTGGAAACCACGGGATAGTTCCTATATTGGCTAGACATAGTTCGAAGACTAGGGATGTAATGAGACTACTTATCCACCTCGGTGGTAACCTCATCTCATGAGACTTACACGTGCAAGTGCATGCTCATAACTAGTCTATCAGTATTGTGCTCACTTTAATTATCTTCTTTATCTTTTAGAGTTGACTCAAGCATTACGGAAGCTTGCTTCTAGATTAGCATTTAGTTACTCTTTTGATAACTTGTCATCCTTACCATACATTGATGAAATGTGAATTGTCCTTACATATCATCCTTACTTTACATTGATGAAATATGAATTGTCCTTACATATAATCCTTACTTTACATTGATGAATGTGAATTGTCCTTACATATCATCCTTAGGTGTTAATAGACTAGTCTCGCACATTCTAACACCTTCATTCGTGAGTTTTCTTTTGACATAGTAGCTTAGGTGTAAGTAAGACTTGTCTCACTTCCTTTAATACCCTATTCTGGTCACTTACTTAAATTAGGCCCATTTTATTATGTTATAACTCATGTTAGTTCTTTATTTTAGTGTAGTAGCTTCATTTCATCGTTTACAGAAGATCAACACTTCTTTCAATGAGTACATATGTTCATGGTTCATTCTTGTAGAGCATGTTGGGAGTTGTCCCGATGAATGCCATGGCCTTGGTTATGGATTCATTTATGTTACTCTAGAAGTTCTTATAATATATTTGATATTCTAACTACACAAGAATGGCATATGGATAGTATTGGCTCAACATTTTGATATTAAACTACATAACCATTTTTGTTTAAATAAGCCAATTTTACGTATGCTCATATTATAACTGAATATGTATGAACCTTTAGCAAATATTTAAATCATTTACATAAAATCCTAGACAATAGAAATCTTTCTTATTGACAAAGTAGTGTTAGTTAATTTTATTGGCACCAGATAGTAAATTCATTCAAAATGCGATTTCATAATGACCTTTCAAGCTAATCTTTGTTCATGACTTTAGGAATAACGTTTTAAGCGTTGCGGACAGCATCATATTAACATTTGATGAATATAACATCTTCATAAAGTCACATTAAGTATGGATTAATACGTCACACATCACAATTAATGTTTTTGAAACTTGTCTTAGTAATACATCATTCGTCAATTCACGTAAGAAACCCTTAGCATCAAATGTGTTCAATCATAGTTTATTCGACATTCATAATTCAAGAACATAACACATAAGATCATCCAGCACCACATACAAATAACATGATCTCTAACCTAGTCAACATTGAATCGAAAAGGATACTAGGGACAAGGGAGTTCGACGAGAACACGGAGAGAACCCTAGTTTTCAAGATCTTTAAATTTTTGGAAAGAAAGTTCTCTCAGTCAAAGAAGTCTAGGATAGAAACCCATACCTTATGTAGATTCGAATCTACAATGATCACCCAAATGAAATCCTTGAAACCCTTGAAATCACCCAAGAAAAGCCTCTAGTGTTCTTACGTTCTTTTAGTTTGTTATTTATTGCCTTACGTGGGTATCTTGTGAATGGACGTGATTTATAGGTTTTTGGAACTTATGTTTAATTCTTCAACTTTAGATTAATTAACTTAATTAATAAATTAATTAGTTAATTACAAAAATACCCCTCCAAAGTTGACTAGACATAGGAGTCCATTGACTTAGCCAATTGCAATTTTGACTAAGTGTCTCGTCTGACCGAGGCTTAATTTAATTAATTTGATGGATTAATTAATTAAATATGGGACTTAATGAAATTAATTTGATGGATTTGTAAGTCTGTGTGGAGTATATTAATAATGTTATGATGATATATAGGATGACTTGAATATTTTTGGTTGTTTAGAGGTGTTTCTAGAATGACTTGTATTATGTGTTAAAAGTGAAGCATGTGATGTATTGTCTTGGTTGACTTGTATATCTTGCTTTATGTATATATGATTATGAATATGTGATGTCTCTATTTAGGGTGTTAGAACTCTTAGTCTTGAATGTATGAATGACATGTGACTTTAAAATGAAGTTATGGGAGTCTCTTATGTACAAACCTTGACTTCAGGGTAAGGTTAAGATTGATTGAAGAGTAAGTCATAATGGTATCCTTTAAAGTAAAGGAATGATGGACTTAAGGTTAGTTGGCTGGAACGACAACATATTAATCCTTAGGAAAGTCATCATGAGATTCTTGTCGTCATTGTTAGGTAGCCCTAGTGGACCTCCCTTGGTAGGGTAAATGTGATTAGGTTATGTACTTGTTATGGAAGCCTTTTATGTGAGCCTAATATATGAATTACTCTATGAGAATGAAGGCTATCACTGAGAGATTATGGTATGGGAAAGTAGTTCTAGTTATGTATGAGACTAGATTAGAATGTATGCCCTTCGTATTACTTAACCATGTGCCTACATGGTATGTGTCTAAGTTCTACCATTGGCAAGTTAAACAACCTCATCGGAGTAGGATATGACTCCGGATTCCATGTCTTGTTATCATGGTCTATGTCGGTTATTGCCTATTCTCATCTTATGGAATACCTATTATAATTAGAGGAGTTTATGAAGTTTAGGTGGTGGTACGGGACGCTATCTAAATATTGCACAATAGACTTTGAAGGTGTTATGTGTATTTCCTAGGTTTTGTCCAAGACCATTATTTGAATGTCCTTTATGTGATGTATGAGTCTTAATGAATTAATGACTTATGTAATGGAGTATGTAAAAGGAATAAGTACCTATCTAGAGTAGTTAAGGGTTGTCTAGTTAAGGTGAGAAGGGGGAATAGGAATGGTCACTTTGTATCTTACCTAGATGAGTCTTAAGAATGACTCTAATTAGGGAAGATGTTGATTATGTGGACAAGATACGAACTAAGGAAGTCATAAGAATTATTTAGGTAGTCTTGAAGAGGTCAATTATGGACGTTATCTTCTTGACCTACTTAAGTAAGTCTTTCTATATCCTTTGATTAGAAAATGTCATAGTGTCTATATGTTGATATGTTTGATGTTTTGAAGTGTGCATGTGACCCATTATAAGTAATCCTAAGGATTGTTTAAGCACATCTAGAGAGGGTGTATGGGAGGTCTCTCATTGTGTGACTTAAGTGAATCTTAGAATGACTTTAAGTGAGGAAATTACATGCTAGAAGTTGGTTATTAAAGGGGTTAGTAAGTCACTGAAACAGTGAAGTCAATTCACTGTAAAGTGCTGCCTAAATTTGATATTGTTGATTAATTATTATATATGTGTTTCTAAATTGATTAATGATGTTACCATGATTAAAATATGATTTGGAAAATGAAAAGATGCATATTTCCAATAAATGTCCATTTTCATGATTTTTATGCATAAAGTTATACTTAGTACATGTGGTTATACTAACTACATGTTTTTATTTATCTATATAGTTCTTGTTAGATGAGGAGCTTTGAGAAGTGAAGAGTAGGACTTAGAGGATCTTTCAAGAGAAGTTGAAATATGTCCTCACTTGACTCGTGGTCATATATATGTCTTTTTCCTTTATAAGACTTTTTTTTCACTGAATTTTGTCAAAAAAGTTTCTTACAAGACACATTATCTATAAACAACAAAGGAAAAGTATTATAAATTCGTTGAAAAGTGGATTGCCCATTTAATTTATTCAGGAATTACATGATTTATGTATATATGTTTTCAAGGTGATATGAACATTTGTGGATAATTATGTATCTACAAGTTTGGACATTTAACAAAGTAATATTTGAGGTGACATCTCAACACTATAAATATGAATGTCATTTATCATTTCTAACACACTTCATTAATATAAAAAAGGATCATGCTTCTCTCCAGTTTCCTCAAGTTCCTATTTGGATTAGTGACACATGACATATGTTAAAATAAATGGTTAAGATATAATTTCCAAAGTAAATCTCTAATCATAATTTAATTAATAAATACATTATATATTAAGTATTAAAAATTATTATGATATAACTATCTTAGCAACATATTATCTTGTCCATAAATATAGGAAAAAAAAATTTCTTCCTAAATTTCTTTTACGTAAGATTTTTTAAAATTTTCTTTTAAATAATCTTTTTATCCAATTAACTGAATAGAAGTATAGAAACTATAATTAACTATGGTATGTACTGGTATCACCGTATTTGTAATCTTATTATGAAATGAAAATTAGTTTGTTAAAATGGTTTGATTATCGCTAGGTAATTTATTAATCACAGATAAATATGCCTTTAACAAAAGATTACAATAAAAATATTATATAAACGGAAAAAAAGATCCTACGATAAATAAAAGGAAGAAAACTTTTTTTTTCTGTGTTTATGGACAAGACAATATATATCTAAGATTGTGAGATTATAATAATTTTCATACTTGAAATATAATGTATTTATTAATTAAATCATGGTTAAAGGTTAATTTACAAAAAATTAAATATTAATTATTTATTTTAATTTATGATACATGTCATTAATCTAAATAAAAACTTCCGAAAAATAAAGTAAAGAAAAATGGAGAGGAGCTGGATGAAAAAAAAAAAAAAGCTGTCTCGTCCATGTATTATTTTAAAAAAAGCTGTCTCGTCCATGTATTATTTTATTATAGTTGAGATATTTTAGATCCACTTTTTATTAAAGCGTGATATTTTTATTGAATAGTGGCTGTGAGTGGCTGTGAGTTGTGAAGATATGGAAAATACATAAATAGGACAAATCTATTTCCTACTAAGAGAAAAATGATGAAACTCGACCCACCCGGCCCTCCCTCTATTTAGGGTTTTAGATTATTTTCTACCTTCTACGCAGAAATACATTTCACCGTCTCTTTTGTGCACATTACTGATAGTACAACAAACCACTCCAGTCCTCTCTCTGTCTGCAAAAACTAACCCCTTTTGCTGAAATCACTCTATTTATCTTCTTCTAGTAGGTTTAAAGATGTCGGCGGTGGTTCAGCTTCGCTGCTCTTCACTTCCAGCCCACTATCACTATCAAACTCTTTACTTTTCTGCTGTCAAACCCTCATTTTCAGACAACAGCTGCGTCAGAAATCTCAGCTTTAACCCATTAACTACCAGCCATGTGGGTTCTAAACAATTGCTTATTAAGTATCAAGTTCCTTGTGCTGGGTGGGGTGGTGGTGATGGAGGAAGCATTGGCATTGGTGGTGGTGGCGGTGGTGATGGGGATTCGGGTGATGGGGGACATTCAGATGATTCCTTGAACAGTTTTGGACCAATTGGTGCTTTTGTTAATGGCTGGAGATCTAGGGTTGCTGCGGATCCACAATTCCCTTTTAAGGTTCTTATGGAGGAATTGGTTGGTGTCACTTCTGCTGTCATAGGAGACATGGCATCACGTCCTAACTTTGGCCTTAATGAATTGGATTTTGTGTTTTCCACACTTGTCGTTGGTTCCATTTTGAATTTTGTGTTGATGTATATATTGGCACCAACAGCATCTGTTTCTAGTCGAGCCCTGCCTTCAATTTTCGCCAGTTGCCCACCAAGTCACATGTTTGAGCCTGGGGCTTACAGTTTATTCAGTAGGGTTGGGACATTGGTCTACAAAGGAACTCTCTTTGCTGCAGTTGGATTTGCTGCTGGACTTGTTGGAACTGCAATTTCTAATGGCTTAATCAAGATAAGGAACAACATGGATCCTAATTTTGAGACCCCAAATAAGCCCCCTCCAACACTTCTAAATGCTGGAACATGGGCAACTCATATGGGTGTCAGCAGTAATTTAAGATACCAAACGCTTAATGGAATTGAGTTCTTGCTAGACAAAGCTCTTCCTCCAGTTGTTTTTAAAACGTCCGTTGTGGTTTTGAGATGCTTGAATAATGTTCTTGGGGGAATGTCATTTGTCATGTTGGCAAGGCTGACTGGTTCTCAGAGTGTAGATAAAGGGGAGCTAGTTACTGTGAAAGATGATGGAATAAAGGTAGAGAAAGAGAGGTTGCTGAATCAGAGCGACAACATACAAACTGGTCATTCTGTTTTAAAGTGAATCGGCTTTGTGTGTATCAATATCTTTCTAGTTACAATCCCTCAATTCAGCTTAGTCAGTTTTTGCCCCTTACTATGAAAGTATGAATTATGATCATAAATAATTAGTAGTATTTAGCTTCTCTGACTTCATGTCCTTCAGGAGTTTTGAGTTTGTGTCCTGTCTAGCTTTCCTTTTCAGTGATGATAGAACCAGTTATTTGTTGGTGTTGATTATGATTTATGTCCATTTGTATGTTAAAAATGACATTCATGCTTGCAACTGACACTACGCCCAAATCATGTTAAAGGGGAAGTAGCACCGTTTTCCCGTCCTGCAGCATACATAATTTCTTTTATTGTCTTTCGTTACTGCTGATATAGCTATAGTCTTGATGGTGTATGGGTTCTTTCTTTTTATGGATATACATATTTTAAATGAAATTTTATGAGTGTTGTACTAAATATAGTATCACTAGAATTAGTTGTGGCAAAGGAAGTGTTCTCACCTGCCAGTAGATGCTCAGGAAAAACAAAAGATGAAGAATTTGGAAGCAGTTCATTGCCTGTGGGAGCTTGGTGGTAGTGAGGAAATCACAGTCGACAAAAAAAAATGTAGATTCCAAATGAAGAAAGTTATAACAATCTGTAGTACTTTCCACCTCTTTCATCATAAATCAGCACAACAGTTAGAGACTCTTCAAATTGTAGACTCATGTGATGGTAGTTTAGTTCACTGTATTATTGGAGTTCCAACATATTTTCATGATTGATAATTTCAAAGAGGAGAAACTAAGGGAAAACCAGGATACGAGCAGCTGAAAGAACCACTCCACATTTTAACTAAAGCCGATTTGCCGGGCAGCATTGTGGATATTAGATTGAGACAGGCACAGGAAATCATAGGTGAGTTGCTTAAGCCCGTGGTATGTATCTCAGATTCGTTCCCTCTGTGGTTTTGCATAACTTTGTAGCATATTTGATAGCACCCAAAAATGAAATAAGTTAACAGTTGATTTTAGAGATGCTATAATTTTGGTTGCATAATCTTTTTTGGGAAAAGGTCAACTATACCAGGACAACTATTTTAAGTAACTTGACCTTTAACATGTTTACATATTGAGATATCACAAGTGGCTTCTAGATAGAATTTGTTTACTTCCCTTTTTTCTTTGACGAGAAGAGACCTTCTTTATTGCAGCAAATGAGTGTTAGTTTTTTGCAATGCCTTTAACTCCAAGATAAATCACAGGACTACATAAAGAGACGGCCTGCGTAAACTTGCGATGCTAAATTCAAAATTCAGGGAAGAGAGCCCAGGACCAAGTGGCAGTGTCTCTCCTTTCAATACTAGTGGCATGAAAACGTCCCAAAATGAGGAATTGAAGGTGTTGACGGTGAGAGATGTTTGTACAATTAGAGGCATGCCTCTCAACATACATCATGTCTGCTTCACTACCTAAACCCAAACTATAAACAGACACGCAGGTCATTGTGGGTGATGTTGGTTTGCTTGTGGGTTATAGTTATTTTTTTCCAATCAACTACAGAAATGACATGAGAGTAAAAAGGATAACGATTATCCAAAGACACCAAATATTGGTGCTTTGACTGGAGCTGGATTTGTGTATTCACCTACTAGTGTAACATGCAATATTTTAAATTCTTTCTTGGATGATTGTATTTGTTCGTCTGTTTGTTTCTTATGCTAAAGAAATAAGAATGGCCCAATTAGTGAACGTGCAAGTCTGATGGGCAGCCTAATTGTATGTTCCATTTTATTTCTGTTTTTTTTCTTCAGAATATTTTCATTTTTTTCCTGTTGAACTTCAGATAAATTATTGTTTTCCTTTGTCATTTCCTTTTCAACTTCAACCAAATTACATGTAAATGTACTATGGTTGAATCTGCCTATGTTTGGTACTATCTTTAGGATTTTCATGTGGTAAAAATCTTGATTTATTTAATTAGTTATCAGGGATTTCCAACTACACGAATTCTGTACAAATAAAATAGAAAGTAGAAAGTTTGTTACTCAATAATATTACATGATTTATGTACTTGTGTCAGAGGTGTATGTGGATCTATTCAAATTTTTAATGAAGTTGACGGATTAAATTAGAGTTTTCGTTATGATAATGGGTTGCAAGGAATTCGAACATAGAACTAATTGGATGAATAGATAAGTTCTTTACTAAATAAAATAAATTTCAGTCTTTAATTAAATAATCAAGTCACGTTGTATGTGAACTTCCCTATGTATCTATCTGTTTCTTTTTCGTAGAAATTAGAAATACTTTAAAAAGGTGACAATTTCAATACATATAAGTGAAATGAAATTATTTTGCACATATTAGGGAAATTTAGCTAACTAGTCAAAAAATCAATTTATTTAGTGAATATCCATAGTTTAATAATAATAGTACACATGTCAAAAATGTCATATTTTAAAAATAAATAATTATTCTGATATTATTAATATTTAATATCTTCTCTCTAATTATTTACACCATTTTTTATGCATAGATTACACATTTCTCTATATTTATATAATTGGATAGATATTAATGTCATTTTAATTTTTCTCTCTCTTTTCTTAAGCTTATCAATTTCTCTCTCTTACTTTCTTCTGAATCAAATCCCTAAATTTTTCTCTCTTTTCTTATGCTTCTTTTCAATTTCTCTCTCTAACATATTCGATTTGAAGATTAACATTGATTTAGGTATTATGTTTTTCAGATTGTTTATTTATTTACTTACTGATTTTAGTGTTTTTTTAATTTTTTTGTTTTGTTGTTGTTAAAATATTTTTTAGGGTTTGAGACTACATAATTGTCTCTTCCATGGACGTTCTCAAAAGAGTTACTAGAGGTATTAGATAAAATAGTGATGTTCTTCCGATTTTCCATCATTTATTTATTTTTTCATTCAAGAATTAAATAACAATGTAAGTTTCGCTTTTAATCTAAGGAGGATATATGACAGAGGAAAATGCCTGAATCCGTCGATATGCAAAATCCCACACAAATTCATAACCATGATGTTGAAGAAGACCAATTTGTTGGAGAAGAAGTATTTTTTTTGCATGTTCTGTGTCTTGCATGTTTAGTTTACTTTGTTTAGTAATTTTTACGATTCAAAAAAATTCATGTTACAATGCGTTTGGAAGTGTATAAGGAATTTTTATTATGTTATAGTTAGTATTTATGTTTGTATTTCATATATTCATTGTATTTTGTGTTTTTTTTTGGTGTTAGTTATGTCAATGTAACACATTATATGAGTTTGATTGTGTATATTTCATATATTTTTTTTGTATTCATAGATTTGGAAGCGTAGATTGAAGTTTGCTGTTGTTTTACTCAATATGTATTTTTGTATTTCATTGTTTTATTGTATTTTGTATCCATAGATTTTGAATTGTATTTCATATATTTAATTCATTTTGTATTCTGTTTTTTTGTAATAGTTATGTCAATGTACCACAGTTAGTATTAATTTCTTTTTTCCATAGTTTTATTATTTTTTGTATTCATAAATTTGGAAGTATATATTTAATTCTGATACTGTTTTAGTCAGTATGTATTTTTTACAATTAATAGTTGTATTCATTCAAAAATTATGTTGCATTATTTCTGAATTTGACATTTTTCTTCTAATTTGTATTTATTCTAAAGGTATGTGACCTCATTATGTATTTTATTTAAGAATGAGTACAACAAATATTCAATTATTTCTTTTCAATTTTATATTTCATTCACTTTTTCATCATACTAATTTTTTTGTATTTTATATATTATCACACAAAATTCTAAATAAAAACTAGAATAAATAGAAATACAAATAAAATACATATTGAAATTAATACATACAAGATTTTTAAAGAAAAAAATAACTACATAGGAAAAAAATATATGAATACAAATATACTTCTTAAATAATTATATAGATACATTTGGCATACCTATTCGAATGAATACAAACTAATAAAAAACTATAATAAATATAAATAGAATATATTATGGAATGAATATAATTTTAAGAAGGTAAAAATTCTGGAGAAAAAAAAAGAACAAAGTTTGAATTTTATTTGAAAATGTAACTGATGAGAAAATTATGTGATCCTTACCTTTTTTTTTGAAATATTCTCTCCCTTGATTTTCTTCCTTTTGTTATTAAATAATTTTATCCATTAAATAAAGACAAATAATAAAAACATAAATAAGATACATAACAAACTAAAATTTGACATTTTTACTAAATATTAAAAGTGTTGCTAGTGAGTAATGAGCCCTCTTAATTGTTAAAATATTGACATTTTGAAAAATTTCCCTAAATTAAATAGATCACTCTTTTTTTTTTTTGAATGAGTTAACATGGTCTTCAACAAATTTAAGTTTAAAATGGATTAACATGAAAATCCATATCCAGCTCCTATAACTAAAATGAAACATTTTTTTTAATTTTAAAATAAAATAAAATTTAGGGTCGATTGGTGGAAGATGGGGGTCAGACCCTTGGGGGGGGGGGGGTTTCCAAGTGGAGGGGGTTATTTTTTTTTTAAAAAAATGCATTTTTTATTTTTGAAAAATAAAAAAAATTAGAGATAGTTTGATGGAAGCT